ATGGTTTAGGTGGGAAATTGTGTGTTCTGAATATCTGGCCAGCATAATGTCCACATGAAATTGGAGGCATCTTGACCTGACAGCCATCACCCTCTGTTCCCACGTCATTTGCTCCGAGCAGCAAAATTATTTCCACGACGTGTCGCGTCTCCCTTCCTCCTCCCCTTTTTGAATAATCCAAAACCTATATTAATTAGCAGTCCTGTATGTTCATGTTCACAAGCTCCGATTTTAAATGCAACAGTTTAATTAATATATCATTATAGGATTAATGGATAGCCTTGCTTTTAATGCACTTGTCACAGAGCAAGCACATTGGAAGGGTTCAGCATTTATACCAAACCTCATACTGTAATCCCTAAGTGACATTTATCAATGAACCTCAATGTTCCCCAATAACAGATGCTACAGAATCATATGAGCCAGTCTCATGCCCCAGTCTTGTCCGCTGCAGGCACTGAACATTCCTGAAAATGGCGTTCCTGTTCAAGCAAATTCGTCACGCCCAAATGTATTTCAAATAATATAAATGTAAACCGTCAGAGCCCCCAATCATCCGGCCTCAAACACGGGAGTGGCAGAGCTCTACGCCTAGAGATCATGCGCAGCAGACCTGTGCACTGTGAAACGTGACGAAAATGCCAATCCGCACACCGGCTGCAAATCCATTATGTAGGAACGTCAAAAAGCATGAGTAAATTAAGGAAATAATGTGGGCAACCGCGTGGGTCGGTGTGCCAAACCCCGATATCAGATTACTTCGCCTGGAACCTGCAGGTCAAAATTTGCACTGGATTCCTGGGAGAATTGCTCGGAACACACTCCAGATGCAGTTGATATGGAAAGGGAGCTTGGTTAATGGTCTCGATCCCAGCGCCCTTTGGACGTTAATATACTGCCCATGTGCCTTCCACGCTGGTGGTTTATGCAAAAAAGAAATCTGCCTAATCTGGAAAAGCCTAATTTATTAACTATGAAATTACTATTAAATTGATAGGCAGTCACTCTCCCTAGGTATGCTTTAATTGGGTGGTTTGAGAATGTAGAAGAGACCTTTATCCAAATGTAATTATGTTATAACCTTGTCGTTTTTAGAACCAACATTTAAATGGCTGTTCTGTTCATATATCTTGGCTATTTTTTGCTTCTGGCATAAACTAGTTTAAAAAAATGTTAATGTCCTCAACTCATATTCTTGTTTCTTTCGGTAAAGTCACGTAGAAGGGAAACAATAAAATAACAAAAATATAAAACAATAAAATTCTCACGACGTTTCGACTGCAACACAAGCAATCATCATCAGGTGTGAAAACCACAACAAGAAATTTTGAAAAAAGTGGCGGTTATTTTTAACGTTAGCACCACGAAAAATAACCGCCACTTTTTTCAAATTTTCTTGTTGTGGTTTTCACACCTGATGATGATTGCTTGTGTTGAAGTCGAAACGTCGTGAGAATTTTATTGTTTATATTTTTATTATTTTATTGTTTCCCTTCTACGTAACTTTACCGAAAGAAACAAGAATATGAGTCCCTGCAGTCACGAAAACTTTAAATAAAAATTTAGTCCTCAACTCATTTTTAATGACACTGTGCATGTAGATTTCCCATCATAATACAAGGAAACCCAGTTGCACTGGTTTCAGATGCCAAAGACGTGCTAATGGTAATTAGTAATTAAACCAGTTCAAACGTTCCACCAAAAAGGAATGCTTCTCGTCAAGATCACATTCCTGCGGAGGGAGCTGGTAGGAACGTTGGGTTGCTCGGTCAATGGCCAGGGTCAACGGCGGCACCACGTGGTGTATTCCGCAAATATGCCGGACTGTGAGGGCGGGCACAAGCCGGCGTGAGTAGGTTAAACGTTGAGTTTTATAAGGGCACCACGGGGTGACCAGCCCCTCCCCACCCAGCCCCACCCCTCCCCACCCAGCCCCACCCCTCCCCACCCAGCCCCACCCCTCCCCACCCAGCCCCACCCCTCCCCACCCAGCCCCACCCCTCCCCACCCAGCCCCACCCCTCCCCACCCAGCCCCACCCCTCCCCACCCAGCCCCACCCCTCCCCACCCAGCCCCACCCCTCCCCACCCAGCCCCACCCCTCCCCACCCAGCCCCACCCCTCCCCACCCAGCCCCACCCCTCCCCACCCAGCCCCACCCCTCCCCACCCAGCCCCACCCCTCCCCACCCAGCCCCACCCCTCCCCACCCAGCCCCACCCCTCCCCACCCAGCCCCACCCCTCCCCACCCAGCCCCACCCCTCCCCACCCAGCCCCACCCCTCCCCACCCAGCCCCACCCTTCCCCACCCAGCCCCACCCCTCCCCACCCAGCCCCACCCCTCCCCACCCAGCCCCACCCCCTCCCACCTCCCACCCAGCCCCACCCTTCCCAGCCCCACCCTCCCCACCCAGCCCCTCCCCACCCTCCCCACCCTCCCTCCCCAGCCCCTCTCCACCCTCCCCAGCCCCTCCCCATCCTCCCCTCCCCACCCTGCCCCTCCCCACCCTCCCCTCTCCACCCAGCCCCACCCCTCCCATTTTATCCGGGTGTCCGGATACACGTGGCAGACATCCACAGACATACACAATTAATCCCCTGCCTCCTGTGATAATCCCGGTTGGGCTTCCAGTCCACTACGTTTCCTACCAGTAATGCCCACTAGGATCGCATTTGTTATATATCCGGGTGTCGGGACACATGTGGACAGACATCCACAGACATACACAATTAATCCCTTTCCTCCTGTGAATAAATCCCGGTTGGGCTTCCAGTTCACTACGATTCCTACCAGTATTAATCTCATTTATCAATTCAGAAAACCTTCACGGAGTCAAGATTCTTTTTAGGAGGGTTGCAATTGGGATGTCCGACCGATTTCGGTTTAGGGAGCGCTTTGCTTGTGGAAGAAAACGGGAACACAAAAAGGAAACTCACAGATGCAATAAAACTCCAAAGTATGCACATGGTTTTACAAATTCATGACTATCTCCCAGCAGGTGCTGAATTATCACAACTCTAAGTGATCCAGAAACACTTGCCTCAAAGCAATGGATTACAGGCGTGCAACCAGATGAAAGGGTTATTTCTCTTTCAGTAAATTATAACCAATTGCTGCATATGCTTTTACAATATCGCCAAAACACACGAATTTCCGCGGCATCCAACGTATGTGTTTATCACACAAGCAAACCACCTTGACACAAATACACAACGATACAATGAATATGCTCATACCTGCTATGCATTGACCAACATTTACATGATTCAGATTTAACACACAAAGGTGAGCTGATCACAAACAACAGGAAGGTATGACTTCCATCCATACGTCTTGCATGCATGTAATATGACCACCACATTGCACGTATAATGCTCTCAGCCTTGTCTAATAATTTCCAGTCCGATTCAATCTTCTTCGAGTAACCTCAAGAGACTCTGACGGTGACAAAACCATCTCGCCCGCGTCATCCTCGTCACCTGTCATCCTCAGCTGGACACCCTCGCCTCCCTCCGCTGGCTTCCATCATCGGCAGCAGGGTCAGCTACATCGTCTGCTGCCTATGCCACTGCAATCTTCCCCCGTGTCTCTCTTCACTCTCCTGTCTCCCTGTACTACAGCTCATCGTAGAACTCTCTGCAACAGCAGCGGCACTCGCAACCTCCTCCTCTCTACACCAAGGACCAGGACCATCACTGCCGAGTGTGGTTTCTCCGTGCCAACCCCCGCCGTCTCGAACGCCATCATCCCGTTGCTGTAGATTCGCAGCGGCGTTAAATCTACACCGACTTTTAAGAGACACTTGAAGGCCCCACTTCTATCGCCTGGCTTTCGAGCGACACTCAATTTGACTTCATGAGTCAGAGTCACGGTCATATATCTTCGTGAAATATTGTACGCGTAAAAATTTGCAATATTATTATTTTTCGATTTAAAGCTTTCGTGACTGCAAGGATTCATCTTCTTTGGTTCTTTCGGTAAAGTCACGTAGAATGAGAATAAAATAATAAAATAAAACAATGAAATTCTCACGACGTTTCAGCCACAACACAAGTAGCCATCCTCAGGTGAAGAAACAGGACTGTCCAGAAGACAGCGCTTGAGTGAACCCTGTCAAGCTTGACAGCGTCTTTTAAGCTGTGTGGGAGGAACAGAGAGCCTTGACAAAGGAGCATTAACTGGGAGATTAGCATTACGGAGAGCGAACGAGCTGGAACTGGAGGAGGGAGGGGGAGTTTACATATAAATTAGCATGTAACTGGGGGATCAGCATGATGCTGGTGTGAGGGATTAGCACCACGGCGAAAGACGAGCTCGGACCGGGGGACGGGGGGAGAGGAGTTTACATATAAATTAGCATGTAACTGGGGGATTAGCGTTGGTGTGAGGGAGAGAAGAGCACCAAGGAGAGAAAAAAATGGCGGTTTTTCCCATCTCCTCAACAACCAGCTCCCCCCGTCCCCCGGTCCGAGCTCGTCGTTCGCCGTGGTGCTAATCCCTCACACCAGCATCATGCTGATCCCCCAGTTACATGCTAATTTATATGTAAACTCCCCCTCCCTCCTCCAGTCCCAGCTCGTTCGCTCTCCGTGATGCTAATCTCCCAGTTAATGCTCCTTTGTCAAGGCGCTCTGTTCCTCCCACACAGCTTAAAAGACGCTGTCAAGCTTGACAGGGTTCACTCAAGCGCTGTCTTCTGGACAGTCCTGTTTCTTCACCTGAGGACGGCTACTTGTGTTGTGGCCGAAACGTCGTGAGAATTGAATTGTTTTATTTTATTATTTTATTCTCATTCTACGTGACTTTACCGAAAGAACCAAAGAAGAATATTATTATTGTTTCCAGCCGGTACGCCTTTTCCTGTTGTTATGGGTTTTCCCATCATTTACAGAAAGTGTAGGATTTTAACTCGTGCCACGATTTGTATGAACTCCCGCTATGCATTTAACCAGTAAGAATCAGTGTCCACCCATTTCTACGTGTCGTGTGCGTCTACCTACCATGCGACGAAGGCCAGCGAGTGTGGGACGGCGGCGGCGTAAATGGCCAGGTCTCCGTACAGGTAGATGACAATGCACAGGTAGAACAGGTGCAGGCCCACTGGGAGACAATGAAACAAAAGGGAGGGGCGGCAGCAAAAGGACACACACGTAAATTTACGCAAATATAGACAAATACACAGACACAAAGCTATACCATCACACTCACACACAAATAACAACAACAGCCACCATTCACCACAAAGTGGCGGTGATGTCACCTCGGCACCCGTGCCAGGCCAGATGCACTTTGAGGCCATGAGAATTGTGGAAGGTTCGCTGACAGGAAGTCATAGGACAAATCCGGATGCCATGGGTTGACTGACTGAGATGACTAGCAGATGCACCAGCTGTGCCCCCCACTGTGCCAACTTAGTGCATTTTAGCTGCCCAGCGCTCTGCTCGTTATTTTGAGCATTGCTCCTTTGCCCTCTGTTCTTGTTGAAAGGCGACTGCCTCCAACCGCCCAGGAACATCCTTCACGAGCCTCGTCCATACACACACATATAAATGCGTATACGACAGACGCACACAAAAAACATCCCCTATTGAGCAAATGCTGTAAGCGCGCATCTATTGAGGCCGGCACAGCGCATGAGGGGATGGTTTGGCCAGTCCCATACCTGACCACCTTTGTATTCTCAGTGCTGATGTTTAGACACTGCAGTAGGTATTCATTTCAGGCTGAGTCGACCTAAGGAAGCATTAGAACCTCTTCAGTTATTCGCCACTAAAGTCAGCCATGGCTGGGAATTGAACACAGGTTGGCAGGTTCCACCTCACCCCCCTCCCCCACACACACTGATATACTCAGACACACACACAACAATCAGATCCAGCGACATGCACACAAGGGCAGACAGACACAGACAATACGGCCGGGTACAAACTCTACACGTGGGTAAAGAGATCTTTCGAGCGAGCCCGCATTAAACTCGACAAATCTGAACTGGCAGCGGTCTTGCATTTGTTTTGTTCCCGGCGCGGCATTCAGGAGCCTTGCTGCCAGGCTGTAAAGCAAGAGCGGACGCAGGGACTGTGAAAACAGAAAGTGAATTGAGGTATCCATCACGCGGTGATCAATATCTCCACTACCTGTTGGCTGCATTTGGTCAAATTGTATGGCCAATATGCCCCTTTGTCAATCCGATGAACGCTTTTGTAGAGACACTTTCTCCATACTGGAGGCTTAAAAGCCAAATCTAAAGCCGACAGTGGGGAGCACTACAGGAACGTTCTCCGACTGCATTTGCAGCATATTTACGTCGAGATAAATTTACGCTTCCGATCACCCAGCGGTATCTATTAATAACCCCGCTTTAAACGAAACACTTGCTAAAAATCTAATTTAAGACGGGGTACAGAATGGCATACTCTTAAAATCAATAAAAAAAAGCTCTAATGTAGTAAAGCATTGTAAGTTAACTAGAAGCATACGTTGGTTTTGTGTATAAAAATGTACTGTATATTATGTTTATGTAGACACAATGTGCATGGTGTCCATACAGTTAACATCCATTATTATTACTACTACGCTTAGTAGAATGTTGGGACAAAATGCATGCCACAGACACTGAAAATCTTGCTTGATCATCCAATGGCTGGAACAGAAGCATTCACAACAATCACAACCTGAGATTGTTGGTGAACACCTGGTACTCTAAAATATTGATGCATGTTACCAATGTCATATTAGACACATGGGAGGCTTAGTGAGATGAAAATAACACGTTAAAAACATCAAAGTATGAAGCGTGTGTATGTGTAAGGTTTAATGGACGTAGTTCAATTTGCTATCTAATTATAACGCTTTAATAATGGATGATACTTTTATTGACAGCCTATAAATAAAAAATCAAGGGAAAAATCACCTGCAAACTAAAATAAATACAGAACACATTAGAAGGGGAATAATGGAGCAAGCTGAGGGATTTTCCAGGAATCTCATAAAGTGAAAGAATGATGGATGAATGGGCAGCCATGATTCCCTGTGCTGCTTTGCATTGCGAATCACTGCTGCTGATGGTAATGTCACAACAATATTAACATTCCAACAACGTTCACTACTTGAGTCTTATACGTATGTGTGTGTATACTCTTTGGTTCTTTCGGTAAAGTCACGTAGTTAGAAATAAAATAACTACGTGACTTTAAATTTCGATTTAAAGCTGTGACTTTACCGAAAGAACCAAAGAACCAAAGAGTATGGATTCCTGCAGTCACGAAAGCTTCAAATCATGTGAGTGTATGTTAAACTTTGTTCGTACCATACGCAGCCAACTGTGATAAATGGTTGTGTGGGGGAAGGACAACTACTCAACACAACAACAAGCAGTTATTAACGCCTCTTACTGGCATCGGTGTGCACAATGCGAACACAACAAGATTTAAAATAACTTCGATATGAGAAACACACGCTCGATGATGATACTATAATTACAATGTTACCTGTAATGGTGACCCCAATATTAACTACTTAACACAGCATAATCATTAGCGTCACTGTAGAAAATATAAAATAAAAACTGAACATGTAGCAGACAATACGTCTCCTTCAGATATCCATCTCCACATAAAAAAAATATATATATTTCTTACACATCCCATCAGTCACACGGCCTTCTGTGAGTGCATCATTTCAGCACCATTGGGTCAAGACAAGCAAACTTAGGACCAGTTTTGACATACAGGGTGTCATCAGTAGTCAGGCTTGCTTGAACCATTGCTGTTGAATTGCCAAACCTCGAGGAAAGGGCCTTCTCTTTACATGAGACTCCAACGCTCACAGCCCTTCTCAGAGGGTATTTGGCCTACTCTTACATTCCAGCCAGACATAATGGAAGAGATGTAGGAGTCAAGCATGGTAGAACAACACCACTGACACAGCGTAGGGAGGCCTTCATCCAGCAGCGGATTGACAAAGGGGGTGTAAACTAAACCAAACTAATTATAGATTTGAAGCTTTCGTGACTGCAAGGATTCATACTCTTTGTTTTTTTCGGTAAAGTCACGTAGGTGTCTATTCCACCTGAAGAAGGAAGCTTGTGTTGCCTCCAAAACGTCGTGATTTAATTTAATTATATATTTTTATTTTATTTTTTATTTTAACCTACGTGACTTTACCGAAAAAACCAAAGAGTATAAACCAAACTAGGCGTTACCGGCAATTAGCCTATTACCACTCCAAAACTCAAGCAGCTTAGTTCCAATTCCATTATGATGTACTATCCTATGTTGGCCTAACACGTCACCATTCATCATACTTGATGCCTATTGTGCTATAAATGCTTTTAAACGCAAAAAATATATAATGCTTGAGCATTGCATTGAAGGTACACTGCACTCCCATCATAAACTACTCTAACATCATCCAGTACGGCCTCAGTTGATAAACGCAATGCCTAACCCTCAGCCTAACTAGAATAATCCACTCACTTACTGCAACAAACCTGGAAACACACTGTACAATTGTATGTCTCATGAGAATCCCCAAACATGCTTGAAGTTGCTCGCTATACAAAAAGATCTACTCATATATCCGTCTTACTTTGCTGATCCTAAAAATCTCTATGATATACAATTTAAGCTCACCATCTAGCATGTTTGGTTTAGCTGCTCACATTACAATGACATTCCCATGTCTGGACCTTAATCCAGAAAATCATTTTATATCTCCTACCTTCGTTGCAGTAATTCTTACTATCACGCAACAATGATTCCTCAGCTGGTGAGACAGGGTGCACTTCACAATGTTTCTTCTACAGCCGCCATGACAACCGAGTGGACTGCACAGGTCAATCCAGTCAATGTCTGAACCAAGATGGAACATTTTAGCGGAGCACTGCCATACTAGGTAATTTTTCTACATTCGGGCGTACTACAGTCTAAGTCCAAGCCTCTTTCAGCCACCACATTCAGATGGATTCTACAGATGACGCTGCTGCCCAAGTCCCATGAAGAGAACATGGGGGGAGGAGGAGGGGGAGTGTTTAAAGTTTTAGCGAATTATGCAAGGTCGGTGCTTTGGCACAGTACTTATTGGCCTGGAGAAGCCACACGCTGACCCAACAGCAGTTTAACGCCGAATTAACATTAATTACTCAAGCCGGGTATTCCGGCAACGTGCCACTGGTCGTCATGGAAATGTTCCAATTGCACACCGATGACACGCTAATTCAACTCACCGGTTACGCTGTGGCAGAACAGCTGGCCTTGATGGCAGCATGCTCATGTATGCCGATCGCTTGGTAATAAAGGAATTATTGCAGGTCTATTATTATAGAAAATAGTTGTAATAATAGGCCTTCGGTATTGTGATAATCCCAGGACAATAAAGGAGAAATATTTATTCTTAAAGATTATTATTCCAAAAGTAACCCGAGTTGGATTCCCATGACGAGTGATATCAAAACCAGTCTGAGCTCCCACATTCAGCAACCATACTGAGCAATGTGGGGAGGGCTCCATCCAGCAGTGGATGGTAAAAGGTCTAGAAATTATAGATTATTTCATATATATTTTGCTTGAGACTAATTGGATCATCAAAAGGAAGAACAGCCTATACTGGATAGTAACAAGATCAAATTTCCACGAGATCCATTCCAACTGACATTGGTCACATTTTAGATCAATTCCTCTTTATAAATAAGCAGAAACTGTTCTTCAAATTGAACAATTTTTACGCTTACAGTGAAGGAAAAAAGTATTTGATCCCCTGCTGATTTTGTACGTTTGCCCACTGACAAAGAAATGATCAGTCTATAATTTTAATGGTAGGTTTATTTGAACAGTGAGAGACAGAATAACAACAACAAAATCCAGAAAAACGCATGTCAAAAATGTTATAAATTGATTTGCATTTTAATGAGGGAAATAAGTATTTGACCCCCTCTCAATCAGAAAGATTTCTGGCTCCAAGGTGTCTTTTATACAGGTAACGAGCTGAGATTAGGAGCACACTCTTAAAGGGAGTGCTCCTAATCTCAGCTTGTTACCTGTATAAAAGACACCTGTCCACAGAAGCAATCAATCAATCAGATTCCAAACTCTCCACCATGGCCAAGACCAAAGAGCTCTCCAAGGATGTCAGGGACAAGATTGTAGACCTACACAAGGCTGGAATGGGCTACAAGACCATTGCCAAGCAGCTTAGTGAGAAGGTGACAACAGTTGGTGTGATTATTCGCAAATGGAAGAAACACAAAATAACTGTCAATCTCCCTCGGCCTGGGGCTCCATGCAAGATCTCACCTTGTGGAGTTGCAATGATCATGAGAACGGTGAGGAATCAGCCCAGAACTACACGGGAGGATCTTGTCAATGATCTCAAGGCAGCTGGGACCATAGTCACCAAGAAAACAATTGGTAACACACTACGTCGTGAAGGACCGAAATCCTGCAGCGCCCGCAAGGTCCCCCTGCTCAAGAAGGCACATACAGTATACATGCCCGTCTGAAGTGTGCCATTTAACATCTGAATGATTCAGAGGACAACTGGGTGAAAGTGTTGTGGTCAGATGAGACCAAAATGGAGCTCTTTGGCATCAACTCAACTCGCCGTGTTTGGAGGAGGAGGAGGAATGCTGCCTATGAACCCAAGAACACCATCCTCACCGTCAAACATGGAGGTGGAAACATTATGCTTTGGGGGTGTTTTTTTTGCTAAGGGGACAGGACAACTTCAACGCATCAAAGGGACGATGGACAGGGCCATGTACCGTCAAATCTTGGGTGAGAACCTCCTTCCCTCAGCCAGGGCATTGAAAATGGGTCGTGGATGGGTATTCCAGCATGACAATGACCCAAAACACACGGCCAAGGGAACAAAGGAGTGGCTCAAGAAGAAGCACATTAAGGTCCTGGAGAGGCCTAGCCAGTCTCCAGACCTTAATCCCATAGAAAATCTGTGGAGGGAGCTGAAGGTTCGAGTTGCCAAACGTCAGCCTCGAAACCTTAATGACTTGGAGGATATCTGCAAAGAGGAGTGGAACAAAATCCCTCCTGAGATCTGTGCAAACCTGGTGGCCAACTACAAGAAACATCTGACCTCTGTGATTGCCAACAAGGGTTTTGCCACCAAGTACTAAGTCATGTTTTGCAGAGGGGTCAAATACTTATTTCCCTCATTAAAATGCAAATCAATTCATAACATTTTTGACATGCGTTTTTCTGGATTTTTTTTGTTGCTAATCTGTCTCTCACTGTTCACATAAACCTACCATTAAAATTATAGACTGAACATTTCTTTGTCAGTGGGCAAACGTACAAAATCAGCAGGGGATCAAATACTTTTTTCCCTCACTGTACATTGCTCACTTAGTTATGTGACCACTCCACAGGCGTGACGTGATGGGTTAATTCACTGCATTCTGGTCACTGGTGACTGCTAAAAGAGTTAAAGACATGTCCCATGCAATAATGCGTGTACCTTTGTTGAAGAATATGGAGGCCATCTGACCCATCTCGGCACGCTGTGTGATATCAAACAGATCGGGCCTCCGTAAGGTAGGACTTTCAGTTTCTGCGCGACAGAACAATAAGCACGCACAGCACTTTAAAGGCATGGAGAGAAACGCGAACGAAAAATGTCAATGGAGCTACAAAAACAACCAAGGGTGGTTCATGAGTAAAAGTCAGCACCTCTGATGAGCACAGTCGGCTACAAACAGTGCGAAAGAAGTTCAACATACATAAAGATCCCCCATATAGCCTTAACAGACTGTAGGGGCAAGTGCTGTTAGCGAGCACCTATGAAGGCCGGAACGGTACACGAGGGAGTGGGTGGCCAGCACCACGCCCGACCGCCTTTGTCTCCCTAGTGGCAATGTTTACACACCGCACCAGGTACTCATTTGAGGCTGAGTCGACCTAGGGGAGGCCCGGGACCGGTTCAGATAATCGTCACTGGTGTTGGCCGTGAGCGGGAATCGAACCCGGGTTGCCAGGTTCATAGCGCAGCGCGCTAACCGCTACACTATCGCTCCCCACAACATACATACTGTAGTAGGGACAGTGCTCGGTTCAGGTTAGCTCGTTTAGTTAAACTTCGGGGGATAGTTCTTAACACTCAATAAGGAAAAGAGGTAGGCCTGGTCTGCATACGCTGCTCAAAGGGACGAGCGCCAGCGATTAATACCGATGATGGAATGGCAGCCCAAGGAGGGAAAGTCCACCACAGAAATGGAGTGATGTGATCAGCTCGTGTGCAGGAGCAACATGGATTGCTACTTCACAGGAACATGGAAAATTGTGATGGCTTGAGGAGGCCTTTATCCAGAATTGGATTGACAAAGGGCTGTACAATTCTTTTTACAAAGTGTATATTGTATTAGATGCATAGAAACATTAATGTTTTCATATAGACAATGAAAATGTGTGAATGATAAAAACATATTGTTTTCTGATAAAATTAATCAAAATTAGCAACTAAAAATAAGACCTTGATCTGATAAGGTTGCGTATAAAAAACACATCTGCTATAATTTCGGATGTGATTTCAACAATTAACATGCCAATTTTATAAAAATGTGTCTCTGAACACATTTTCTGCAAGCATAAATTACGAAACATCCAAACTTAAGCATTTGGCTTTGCCAGGTGGTGCAAATATACAATTAGTCTGTGGGTTCGTGTTCACTGATGACACTTTACGATCGCTTGAACGCACACAGCAGATACAATCACGTGCAACTCTCACACCAATAGGCTGTTCAATTTATTGCCTTAATTTCTGTTAAAGTCAGCCTTTAATAGCTTCTGTATATCAATTAGTCTTTAGCACTTTTACCCACCGCATTAAACTGCAAGCAGCGCACAAAGCACCGAGTGGACTGAGAATGTAACATTGAATTTGCAAATTACAACGTGGAACATTCTATTAAACAGACCTGGTCAAGCGCCGACTGGCCAGGTTTTATCACCGCAGAAGCAAGACCGCACCAAAAGAAAATCACGCACAATCAACTGTAATTATACGTATTAAAAACAACACTCAAAAACAGCAATAAGATGAAAAACTTGGGGTTCAAGATTTACACGCACCACGTATTACAAACTCTATATACATATACATTGTGTGAAACCCATCATCTATATCATACAAATGCTAGATATAGATTTTTTCTTACAATAAAAAGAAGCCTTCTACCAAAGAGCATTCAAACCAAAAAGTAACTGTCACTGACTTGGGATTTTACAAGAATATAACTTAAAACCGAGAAAAACTCTTAAAAAGGATTTTTTTTTATCTCACAGAAGCCATTTTTTCCAAAGTCCTCCAGTACATGTCTAAAGCACTGGCTGACATGGCCATGACATTATTTTCTGATATGCATTCACAATTGTTCCGTTTCATGCGCATCAAATTAACAAGGAGTATTTATATATGCTATAAGTTGTTGCATATTTGGCGGTGGGGCAGTGGCGCAATGGTTAGCACATTGCACACTGAACCTGTCAGCCTACGTTTCAAGTAAACCAGCATAAAACAACCCAATCGGCAGAGCACAGCGCTGGCCTGGCCAGCAAAAAAGCGGTATAAGTGTGTGAGACGGGGGAGAGGAATGGGGTGGGGGTGGGGGGGGGGGGGCGGGGGCCTCACCAGGGCTAAGCAGAGGTCGTCTCTCGGCCCGGCCTCCGAAGCGGTCATCCCGGTTAAGGCTCGTGCCACTGCTGCCCGTCGAGCTCATCACCTCGGTGCTGCCCGGCCGCTCCGAGTCCTCCGAGTCAGAGTCATCGTGCTGCAAGAAAACCATGAAGAAAAATCATGCGTTCACATTAATAATGTAGTACTTTCCAACATGCGTTTGTTCTCGGAAATACATAATGATTAATATTCCAGAATCCGACAGATAGTTGTTGGGGCAAATGCATTTGCCTTTTGCACAGGGTAATTTTTGCTCTGGTGTGGGTCTCCAAAGTATTGCGCAGTCCTTTCATCCATGTGGTCGGTTTTCTCTTGGGCCAGTTACTGACAGCAAGAAAACTTTGTAGTAAAGTTTGGTTCCTGTAGGATCATCTGCATGAGAGTTATTGTAATGACATATTACAGACAGATGGACAAGACAGACGAACAAAGCTCAAGTATAAAAGCTTTCAACCGTTGTTGTAAAGCGTTAAAGATATATGTATAATTACAGCTGGGATATTCCATGAGTTAAATAAAACATTACTGTACCAATGAAAATATTTGATTATATATTTGACTAATCGGATAACATGCTGGATGAACTTAGGACCTGCACACATGCAAATTTCATCGCTCCATCTTCTCAGTCGCGTTCCATTCCTTGGATGCCATTCTGTCATTCTTGACCATCGGTTATCTCTTCTCGCTAGGTTATCATCATTTCTACCTACGTGACTTTACCAAAAGAACCAAAGAGTATCATCGTCCTAAGTATTGAACAAATGGAACAGGAAGGCAATCGCTTCATGAGTTTCATCAACATAATGACAGCGTTGGGAGTTCTCACTGAATGCCAGCAGATCTCAGATGCGATGCACGTGTCGTTAGAAAAGTAATTTTATCTAGTATTTGGTCAGATGTCTTTATCATCTGCAGAAAAATATATAAGGATTTGGGAACTTGTCACCAAATATCGTTGGAAACTGTCTCTCGCCAAGTACATAAATGAGACACCATGGCTCATTTGCGAGCAGAGCACTGACTCACTTTCCCATGCTTCCACAATGCCAGAAAATCGCTCGTTCCTGTCACTAGCCACCGCAGCAGGTGATGTGGTTTAGTTGTCTCTTCATTCGAGAGCTTGGAACTGCCACTGAATGCCATGCAAATGTACTGCACTAAAGTGTAAACTTTTATTACTCGGATTCGTTTTTTATGCAACTGAAGGTTTCAGTGAACAATGTCTGCGCAACATTTGTGCAGAAATTGATTTGAAGTCACACTGATGCTTCATCGCTTACTTTGAAGCGACTTCTACGAATACGTTTGCTCGTGTCATTAAGGCTCCGTAAATTTTATTTGATTCGTGCAAAGAAATGTCAGCCATGCCAGAAGCTTTTAAACTGCCTCTGGTAAGAAATTATTGAAAGCGCCTGCACAGAGTGCTTTACAAACCTTCGCATCGAGGAAAGTGTCACATACTCTTTGGTTCTTTTGGTAAAGTCACGGAGATAGAAAATGAATAGATCACGAGGTTTCCATCGCAACACAAGCAACCATCATCAAGTGACGGTTGCTTGTGTTGCGATCGAAACGTCGTGATCCATTAATTTTCTATCTACGTGACTTTACCGAAAGAACCAAAGAGTATGGATTTCTGCAGTCACGAAAGCTTCAAATAAAAACGTGTCACATGTTTCATGACAAATCCCAGTTTGGCTACGCAACGAAGTTTAAAGCAAAACGTGAAAATGAATGAAAAAATAAATGTAACTAAAGAGGCACATTCACACACATCAAAAACCTTCTCAGCATTACAACCTCATACAAGATAGATTCGGAGGCCTGTCACTGGGGGGAAACAAGCCAACGGCTCAGAAGGATTTGAAAGACTACATATGTAACAAGTGACTTCAATTGAGATCCAACATGCTCTACATTACTGCTATCGCAAAATGCTGCAACGGGGAGGGGCGGCTGCACCATTTTCTTGACATCCCGCCTCCATTTGCATGCGGAAAGCAGCAGGATTTTTTGTGTATTTTTTTTACCAAAACGAAAGCAGATTTTCTTGTCAGACACATTACCCCGTTGGGTCTATTTTTACAAAGGAAAACATCTTCAATAACGATAGCCATCAAGAATACACGTGATTTATTAATTATTTGCTTTATTTGTTTACCAGCAGAAGCCTCCCCGAGTCTCAACACTTTTGAAAGAGGGTTCTGATGAGTTTTTAAAGAAGGGAGCGATGTTGCTAAGTGTAATCCCCATTGAGTAATTTGCAGGTAATGTTTTAGCATTGAGATGTATTGCAAATACCAGTTTTATTGTAAAGACAACTGCCGTGGGAAAAAAAAAAACAGGAGAACCCGGGGGAAACCCATGCAGAACAGGAGGAGAACAAACTCCACGCAGAAAGGACCCTCAGTTGGGAATAGAACCAAGAAACTGTTCCTGTGAAGCACAAATGCAAGACCACCGAGCCACACTGCCACCCAATTAAGACAAATACTTGAGAAAGGACATCCAAGTCATCTTTGATCATAACAGTTTAAACCACACCACTCATGGAAACTCCTCTTCACACTTCTGTCTATATAAACAAATAGTTTTTTTCAAATCTTCAAAGCGAAACAGATTCGGAGAATTCACCAGAGCTTTGTGGCGATGTTAAGGTGCATCACTATGTAGCACCCACATTGTTACAGCACCCTTCTATTGAACGCGCAAATCATTATCTCCGATGCGGACTTGGCACTGGACATATCATATAAAAGAGCAAGGGTAATGAAGCAGCACCAGCAGTTGACAGCAGCAGTATGTAAAAGTGCCATCCGTCCCCGAGAGAGTGTTATCCGAGTTAAGGAAGTAGACCCCAGGGATGTAGAGTTTATTGAAATACATGGCATAGACAGGTTAAAAATACAAAACGTTGGTAATAATCATTGTACTTTGCATTGTGTCTATACCGGTGTCATTTCCCATACATGCCCTCTGTGTGTACTTGAATCGTTCGTTCAGTAAAATACTTTTGGGGGACAAAAGAGTGGCACTACTTGGATCCCACAACAGTAGCAGCTGGCAACAGCTGCCCCACAGCCCTGACGTTCACAACTATTCGGGCGTACACGGGTAACGGCTCGCGCCACACGCGGTGGCGATAGTCCGCCAGAAGCGAAGGATCCACGCGCTGGCCACGTTACCTACCGCGAAGCTTTCACATCAATCAAGACCACGCGGCCTTCTCTCGCGCACCCCCTGCTCCAACACGTCCCCGTGTTTAACTCTTACCCCGCAATGGCTGGCTTGACAGCGAACATTGCGGTGAACGGCCATGGCCTTGCTTTACTACTTTAATGCGATCAATGCCATTGTTGATGGCTCCGCTTCTGGACCCCCCAAGGGAATTTTTCGCGCCTGACCTACCGTTAAGGCTGTGAATATTTGTGCACTTGCTGTTGTGCATGCGTGATGCAAGAAGCTGATGGGATATACATTGATGCCTTACGTATGTATGTATATTGAACTTGTTTTGCACCGTACATAGCCAACCATACTAATCAGAGGTACGGGCAATTTAAACAAGCATTCAGCAGTACTCTTGTCTATTCGTAGGCCGAAGCAAGTGGTGGAAATTCCACATTCCCTTAGTTTAAAAAAGTATATTGTGAATAGAATTAACAATGTTGATTTCACACAAATTGATTTTCATTTTATCAACCACAATGAAATGATGGGCTGAGACAGCCACTGACAACATTTTGATTGTCAATCAGGAATTATTACAAAGAATACTGCATGGTTGGCTACCTTTGTGCGGTGCGAAATAAGTTCAACATACATGCATGTTAAGTGTAGCACCAAGTTTTTATGAACACCATCTGTTAGTTAAAATGAAAATATATTGCAAAAAAATCATACCATCTTTTCGGCCACATGCCCTTTTTCAGCAGAAAATAGTTTAAAGTGTCCTATTATTTTGGTACCTTTGACATATAAGCAAGTATAATTTTATAATAGACGTTGAGGATACACCGGTGGATTTATAAACACTGTTTATACAAAACTGATGTGCCAATGTAATACTACAATAGAAGGGAGGCAAGGTGAAAGGTTGAAGCAAAACAATGGATTCCGAGACTCGATATGAAGTTAATAGAGTGGAGGTAGTTCTTGAGTGTGCTTTTATAAAGTGGAAGTCAAAACTGCATGTGGAGTGAGTGATTTCAGAGACACTATTTAGGAGGCAACAACGTTTATTCTACAATTACATAACACCGTTACACACGGGACTAAATACACCTATCTCTCACTCTTGTTACACACGGGACCACAATACACCTATCTCTCACTCTTGTTACACACGGGACCACAATACACCTATCTCTCACTCTTGTTACACACGGGACCACAATACACCTATCTCTCACTCTTGTTACACACGGAACTACAATACACCTATCTCTCACTCTTGTTACACACGGGACCACAATACACCTATCTCTCACTCTTGTTACACACGGGACCACAATACACCTATTCCTCTCGTATGCGGGTTAACTATTAACGGGTCAGAGCAGCCAGCGTGCTGTCCGACCCACAATGTCGAAGACGTAGACATAGCACTTGGGTTCCACTTCACCTACAGACAGCCCCGATATTGGATCGGAGCTCCCCTTTTACCCTTCTCGGCGCGGCCTGGCTCCACCCTCGGCCGCGCCGACCTCTGGAATATTACCGACGGTTCCAGGCTACACCACACCTGTTGCCTCTCTAGCTCCGCCCTTAACCACGCCCCCTTCGGGAACTCTCCAGACGTTTCTCAGCTACTCTTCCCGTGTCCCCTCGTTCACCTTTGGCCCACTTTCCTCACCCCGGCCCATCACGTGCTTAACCCGGTGCCGGGGTGACTCGTCCTCACATGCCCCCCTACCGCCAGCCACCCCCACCACACTCCCCCAGTGACCGACTCTGTGGCGATTACCTGCGGCGCGGTCGGTGGCTGTTATCCCTTCTCCTCTGTTGGTAGTACTCATCTGGCTTCCTTCTGCTAACACCCAGTACCATGTCCCTAGTGGCCCGCTGAGTGGTACTGCACGGTGTGTTAGC